TTTATGTCGATATACCTAACCTATATTATTAGCACGGTCGTTCTCGCCTCTCAGAGCACATAATAACTTGTATCATAAAATTGGACGTTAGGACATATCGAAGTAAAAGGAGCTGATACCAAATATACATTATATACATATATATATTAATCAGGGCTGTGAATTTAATGCACTAAAAAACCTTAAAAATTTCAAAAAACTGCAATAAAATATGCACTTATATGCAAAAAATGCCAAAAATTAAAGTATAAAATTCACTTAAAATGGTTTTTAATTTAATTTAAATATTTATATTTATATTATTGGATATTATACATTAGTACATTACATTTTACATGCATAAAAATGTTTTATTTAAAAAAAAAAAAATATAAAAATTAGCTACCTACTTAAATTATTAATCAGCCAACTTAATCTGGAAATTCGTGACTGATATACGATAGTCGATATAAATAACTTATCTAATTATCTATTATTTTACACTTAATTACAGCCTATGTACAAAAATTAAAAAAAATGTTTTTCAAACGTGTCAATTGACGGCATTTGATTAAAAATACCGGAAAATGAACTAAAAGAGGAAAACATGACAAATGAATGCAAAGTAAAAGTCTCATAAATGGATTCGTAGTCACATGATTAAAATTATGTACTTACAAAGCAACGTTTCACAAATACCAGAAAAAAAATGCACTTTCCTACAAATACGCAGCCCTAATTATAATTTAGGTTTATAACAGAATAACCAAAAAAATTCAAAATCACATTGCATTTTTATTGTAATACCAATGGAATTATCATTCCATTTATTTCTCGAGCCAAAAATGTATACTAATAATAATATAGTATACATCTGCTTGGCAGAACGAGCCCGCGAGGTACATATGTGTAAACTGCGAAATTTGGAATTCGATTTGAAAAGAACCCCATTATAATCCCTCGGTATATGATACTCTCGTCGGGGATCAGCCGTCGTCTCTGACCATATATCTGTATATATATATGTACGGTGACTTTAAGCCTATATATATATATCAATATATGTTATATCGTACACGTCGCACGGTCGACCCACCCATAATCTTTTTGGCGAAAATTCGATTTTCGATACGTATTTATTTTTTTTTCACCCGTACTCAAGTGCCTCTCTGACATGCCGGCCATCATCGGTTCACGTCTATATAATATTGTTATATTATTATTATTATATTCGAACCGGCACGACGAAAAACCCACAGGCGGGTTTGCGCGTGCGTACGATAATAATAACAATATGACGACGACGACGACGACGACGACCAAATGACGACTGTTATTGAAACGTCAAAAAAAAAAAGGGCAGTGATTGACAGTGCCATTATAATATATAATACGCACCAGCGATTGTTTCCTGAGGTCGGCCGACGGATACGCTGCCACCCTATGTATATACAACAATATTCTGACTGCATCGTGGAATCGAAAAATCCACACGCACGTCGAAAATACAAAAAGGAACATTTGAACCCATTTTCGATGGCGTGTGTGTGTGTGTGTTTAAAAACACGTGTGGTACCACTCTGCGACAATACGCGTTAAGTCTTCGGCTCGGACGTGAAAGACTTTGTCCGTTTTTCTCAACGTTTCACGCCCGACCAGAGCACAACAATACAACATACTAATATATTATATTGTGATAAGTAGGTAGGCACACAATGAGAGCGTAATACAAATATGATGATATTAAAATGTGTGTCCATATGTGATAATAGAGGACGAGAGTGATTCTCCGAAACGCGAGGTCGACTTTTCGAGACCGCACTCCACGCACAAGAACATACAATTTAATAATTTATTTAAATCACATTATTATTCACCTGCACTACTGTTCACGAGCGACGGGACAAATCGAACTCGAAAACGTCTGTGTGTTTAGCGTAGGTGTACCTACTTGTATAATGGACGAGTGTGTCGAGAAGAGATCTGACGATTTCACGTCGAATCACATCCGATATAATGTTATGTATTTTATTTCACCGAACCCGCAGCCATGTTTGGCCACATCTGATAATGTTTTAAGCCAGTTCGTCGTGATTGCACCTCACCCCGTGGGATGTATACAACAGGGACGATGAAAGAAATTCGTAGGCCGGTGTGGCCGGTAAAATTGCCGAACTCTTAAACAAATTTAAACCTAGTGTGAAAGTCTCATATTGTAGCAGAGTGGGTCACACCACTTGGGTTCGTCCCTGGGTGACCTTTATGTACACTTTCTCGAGGCAGTGACGACTGCACTGCAGTACGCGACCGACGAGTTGGACCTACTCCACAAAGGAGTAAAAACAGAACTCGACTGATATAATATTATAGGTTCTTTAATATGCTAGTCCGCACTAATAATTACTAAACGCAACCACTCGACCACTGTAGTGGTTACATGGCATGTTTTTTTTTTTAGAAAATTTCATAACGAACATCGGTATCGTAAAATCCGTATCGATTAGACGAAACCCGTCCGCAATGGCATAATCACTGTATCGAATCATATTTTGTTACCGCGAAACTTATAAGCGTATTTTTATTAATTAATACATTAAGGGCGGCGAACTTAGGTACTTATTATAAGTTATAAGCTTACAGTGTAAAATTATTGATCTCCCCAGACCGGTTCCATAATGTAGTGCGACATTACATAACACCAATTCATATAGAAGTCGAAACGGTTTATTTTTTATATTATTATAAAGCAGCATTTATCGAAGGATATACACAAGACCCAATCATCATCGTCGGTCTCCACCGATAGGAAGTCATTACAGGTGTTTAGTGGCGTCCCACGCGGAGAAAAGGAATTGAATTTACCGCCCCGCTCATTTAGTGTGCTGTCAATTAACCATGTTTATAAAAAAAAAAAGCAAATTTAATACCTACTTAAATCTATTATAAATATCCCGTAATTGCCAAAAGCAATATAATATACCTGCTTGATTCGACGCTTCGTTTGATACTTGGACATATTACGTAAAAGCGTCTGATGAAAATAAGTAATATTATATTGTACAATCATAATAGTATTAATAATAATAATAATGACCTCGTTGATGTTCGATATTTTACGTTATAATATTCTCTTCGTCATTATAGGTTTACTGTGTGTATAATATAATTATCGGAAATCTATAGGGCCGCGTTAAATTGTCCATAAAAAAGCAGGTCGGGGTTGGCACACGATTGTCGTATAGTGACGCTATTATACTGCAGTAGCACAATGCTATTCTTTTGGAGAGTTGCGGTACTATGTGGTGATTGTGTGTTTTTCATCGTAAAAAACTAAAAATCTCTCTATTTCGAACGCTATCTTTTTACGATTTCTTACAAAAAAAAAAAAAAAAATACTTCTAAACCACAGTAAATAAGATTTGTTCTAAAGTGTAAAAAGTCTTACACTCTTATTATAAGTATTAAGTTATATATATATAGTATATATAATAAATTCTTACGAAATACTGAATTTAGGTCACTACCCAAAACTTCGGTGGATACTGGCAGTTGTACGTACTATCAGGATTTTCTTCTCTGATCAAGACCTAAAAATTATTACCTAAACCGATGTATTTATCTATATTTATATTAATATAATAATTACATGAATCCTCTGCATTATGACATTGTGGTGCACATTGGGAGGCATCTATACTCTCTGTCTAATCTGCTTTTTTATTTTTTATTTTTATTTATTTTAACCTATAAACCATCAATTGTTCTTATTGTTCTTTTTTTGTAACAGATTGAATAAAAAACATATGAACCAAAAATATTATGTGTTCATTGCTACTAAATTAGGTATGATATTATGTTTTAAAATCCAGAAAATTTTTTCAAGATTTGTGTCAGATTTAATTAATAATATAACAAATATGAATAATATATAAAATAATATTATTTAATTTGTATTTTGAAAAAACGCGTGATGGCGACTATAATATCAATTAGCGACCAACCGCTAAATATGCGACGGTTCGCCTCAACAAATGCGCACATCTAGTCAGAGCCGTGTTTAACGGGGGGCAAAGGGGGCAACTGCCCCCGGCGTCAAATTTTCATATTTAAAGAACGGCGTCAACATATTGTTAATCTCCCAATATTATTCGTAATTATTATATTTTTTTTTTTTTTTTTTTATCAAGAAAGACAATTCACAATCTGTACACAATAATTACAATAACAATTATTATATTATATTTGAAATTTTGAAAGGTTTTGGTGAAAAAGGGAATGACAGTTTAAAAAAAAGTTAATATTATTCTTAATATTCTTTCATATTAGCGATTAAAACTATTTAAAAGTGATAAGATGCCTGCGTATCATTTATATTATATTGTTATTTTACAATATTATGTTCCGCGTTACTGATCCACCACCATGGCTTAAGATAAACAGGTTACGAAACGCAGCTGTGATTATTGAGGCTCTAGTCTGTCAATCTTCGGATACTAGCGAGAATGATACCTAGCGCTCCATGCGGTACTATTTAGCTTTATTTATATTTTTCCACGATACTTTTTGAATTTTGTCATGTATTTTAGTTTTAACTTACACGGTAAACAACACAATATTTTAAGATTTTTATGAGATTTTTTTGATTTTTTACATAAATAAACAATTATAATACATAAATATAACACGGATAAATGATAATATAAAACATTTAATAACCTAACTGGATACAAGTTTTGAAAGTTTCTTTTTGGCTCTATTAATTTTATTTAATTTTTGATTTTCAATGTATGTAAATTGCCTCATACGCATTGTTATATATATGGTGAAGATATCTGTAATCATTTCATATTTATGAATAGAACATGAAAATGTCAAGCTTGTCACATGAAGAAAAAATTCATTATAAGTATTTTCAAAGACATCACCAGCACTTGCATGTTTACAAAAGCATTGTCATTGTTTCATTCACCTAATAATATTTTTAAATTAGTAAAAATAAAATATTTGAACTATTAATATATTTATATATCTATACTATTTCCTAAACTAACCTGGTTTATGTCATTTACTTCATCACTTAAATTATTAATTGGTATAACTCCAGATTTTAACCGTGGCTTTCTTAAACAAATCTAAAAAAATTTACCTATTATCTATTCATTTTTACTTATATGTATAATGTATATATTTCAATAGAACATACCGAGATTTGGCTACTACCATTACCAGACTCCCATGTTGATGTAATATCACTAGGTTTAAAATGGTTTGCACAAACTCTTGAATTCCTGTTTAAAGGACACCCAATAATATTTTCCCAGACATTCATCATATTTTTAGGAACACCAAATTTAGATGCAGCACTTTTACTACACCCAGGAACACAACACTTGTTGGAAACCATATTGGAATAAAGGAAAATATAGTACAAAATAAACTACTAAAAAGGCAAAAAGTAAAACGATGAAAAATGGAAATTGGTGCAATATTACAAAAGAAAACTATTGAGGATTGTATTGTATTGTAATCTTTATTCCAAATCCCAAATATGACATATAATATATATAATATGTCATGCCAAATATCCATCAATAAAAATTCGCGGGTAAATGTTTAAAGATAACATTGATAATAAATAAAATTGTTTTTGGCCGCAAGAACGCTAGCTACTATTCTCACACAAACCATCAGCTGTTTATATTCGAGAATCTTTGAGCATCATTTCTGTTGTATAGTTTTAATAGGTGGTTTCGTAACCTGTTTATCTTAAGCCATGTCCACCACCCACTGGACTGATAATTGATAATATGCTTTCAATCGCCAATAGTCACGGACTAAGATATACCTAGTATATCTTAGTCCGTGCCAATAGTAGATATTTTTACGCCAGACCGACTGGTACCACTGATATTTAGCTATCTCGTTTCTTAAGAATATCGTTATCATATATTGAGAAAAGATAGCCATTTGAAAAGTTATTTTTAGACTTTATACAGTGATATTAAATAGTAAACAAAAGCGGCAATCGCCTATTCGCCTGAATCGCCACTCGCCTACGACGACGAAATATTACTTTGACGCTGGTAGACGGTAGTATTGGTGTAATATATTAAACTTTTATATAATTACTAAGTGACAGCTGAGTAACTGACTAGTTTGATTTTGTTGTGTATTTAATACTCAATAAAATGTCTTCAATTAAAAAAAGACCAGGAGGAGCTGAAATTAAAAGAAAAGCTGTTGCAAAGGCAAAGAAATGGGAAGAAATAAGTAAGAAAATTCCAAAATTGGGAACATATTTCTCTATGGTAAGCAGAATGTTTATTATGTGATTAATTTAAAACATAAATATACGATTAAATAATTTTGATACATGATATTATACTCTACTATATTTTTTCAGAATACAAATGTTGAGTCACTGATAACTAATGCCCAAACAGCAGTAATATGTCCTAATGAAGTAACATCTTTTGAAAACAATCTACCTAATGTTATTGCAAATAATAATCATGAAGTATGTTAAATATAATATTTATACTTATTATTTATTTATTATCAACTATTAGGTACCTTACATTTTTAATTTAATGAATAATATTTTTTCAGAATACAAATTTTGAGTCATTGATAACTAATGCCAAAACAGCAGTAATATGTCCTAATGAAGTAACATCTTTTGAAAACAATCTACCTAATGTTATTGCAAATAATAATCTTGAAGTATGTTAAATATAATATTTATACTTATTATTTATTATCAACTATTAGGTACCTTACATTTTTAATTTAATGAATAATATTTTTTCAGAATACAAATTTTGAGTCATTGATAACTAATGCCAAAACAGCAGTAATATGTCCTAATGAAGTAACATCTTTTGAAAACAATCTACCTAATGTTATTGCAAATAATAATCATGAAGTATGTTAAATATAATATTTATACTTATTATTTATTTATTATCAACTATTAGGTACCTTACATTTTTAATTTAATGAATAATATTTTTTCAGAATACAAATTTTGAGTCATTGATAACTAATGCCAAAACAGCAGTAATATGTCCTAATGAAGTATCTTCTTCTGTGAAAAATCCACCAGATGCTATTGATCAAAATGATAAAAATACAACTATTGCCAAAACCAATAATAAAGTTTGTTAAATACATTTGTTTTTAATTGATAATTCTTTTAATTCATACTATTTATAGGATTTTACAAGCAATTCACATACCATTGAAATATTTGAAACATGTACAGTGGGCGTAGGCCCTATTTGCTTACTAGCGAATGAACAAAATAACGTTTCTGAATCCGTTGAAACTGAAATTCCAGATATTGATCCGGCACTATGGAAAATCAACTCCACAAGTATTAATTATTTATTATTAAATCCGCCGAAGCAAAATTTGAAATTAATACATTTAAAAAAAACTAAAAGAGTTATTGGTAAATATGTGAGGTACCTTCCATTAAATATATTCTATAGAAAAATGCAAAATGGAGAAACTCGTTTTAGGGATTGGATTTTATATTCACAATCAAAAAATTCTTTATTTTGTTTTCAATGTTTATTGTTTGGTAATAAAAAAACATTGTTTGAAAATCAAGTTAAAGGTTTCACTGATTGGAAAAAATGTTATGATAAAATTAGTGAGCATGAGAAGAGTTTGACACACGCACAGTCAGTAAAATCATGGCATTTGAGGATGATAAATTCTGGTCAATGTGGAATAGATAAGGAAATGAAAAAGGAAACACTTAATAATTTGTCATATTGGAAAAATGTTTTGCATAGAGTTGTGGAAACTTTGAAATTTTTAACTTCTAGAGGATTAGCTTTAAGAGGACAAAATGAACATTTTGGCTCTGAACAAAATGGAAATTACCTTGGATGTTTAGAACTTATCGCTAAATTTGATCCTTTTATTTCTGAACACATAAAAAAATATGGAAATAAAGGACATGGTAATGTTTCTTACTTATCTTCAACTATATGCGATGAATTTATTATTCTTATGTGTAAAACTGTTGTTGATGAAATAACTAAACAAGTAAAAAATAGAAAATACTTTTCACTCATTATTGACTCAACTCCAGATATTTCAAAAACTGACCAATTAACAATTGCTTTACGATATGTCATGTTTGATGGAACACCAGTTGAGCGGTTCATTGGATTCCTTCCTTCAGTTGGGCACAAAGGAAAAGATATGAAAAAAGCAGTAGTTGAAAAGTTATCAAACATGAATATAGACATAAAAAACTGTCGTGGTCAAGCATATGATAATGCTTCAAATATGTCTGGCATGTATAATGGTTTGCAATCACAAATTAAACAATATTCTTCTAATGCTGAGTTTATCCCTTGTTCAGCTCATTCTCTGAACTTGGTCGGGTCAAATGCAGCAGAATGTACTCCTGAAGGAACAAATTTTTTTTTTACTGCTCAAATGATATATAATTTTTTTGCATTATCTACATATAGATGGGAACTTTTATGTAATTTATATAAAGATAATACAAATTGTACACAACCAACTCATCTTAAAAAATTATGTACTACACGGTGGTCTTCCAGGTACGACGTATGCATAGCTCTTTTACGTGGATATGACAAGATAAAGGATGCTTTAGTAACTATTTCAAATGATGATTTACAGAAAAAAGAAACAAAACATGAAGCATTGTCAATTTTAAAGAAAATATCCACTTTAGAATTTGCTTTTATGATCTGTATGTGGACTCCTATTCTTAAACGTTTTAATGCTACCAGTCTTACATTACAATCTGTATCAATAGATTTATCTACTGTTGTAAAACTATACGAATCATTAGAATCGTATGTAAAAGAAGTTAGAAATAATTTTAATCAGTATTTATTAGAATCACAGCAGTTGTGTGGAAAAGTGGATTTTTCAACAAAATCTTCCAGAACTAAAAAACGGGTTTTATTTGCAGATGAAACATCATCAAAAGGAGTTGTTCATGAAGGATCTGAAAAAATGAAAAACGAAGTGTTTCTAGTTATCTTGGACTATTTAATTGCTGATTTAAATAGAAGAAAAAAATCTTATTCTAATATCAACAATAACTTTGAATTTTTTCTAAATTTAGAGAAAGAAAACACAGAAAATATTAAAATCCACGCAGAAAAACTTATTGATATTTATCCTGATGATATTGAAAACGATTTCATAGAAGAAGTAATACAATTTAAAGATATAATTTGTAACTTTTCTGCTGAAAACAAGTCATCTGTAATTAACATGTTAAAAGCTCTCATACAATCTCAGCTTTCTTCAACATTCCCAAATGTTGAAATAGCTCTAAGAATTTTTTGCTCTCTTCCATGCTCAAATGTCACTGGAGAACGTTCTTTCTCAGTTCTGAAGAGAGTGAAAAATTACCTTAGATCATCGTTATCTAATGAAAAACTTTCGGCACTATCCATATTGAGTATAGAGAATACAATATTAAAACAAATAGAATGGGAACAAATAATTCATAAATTTGCTTCGGGAAAAGTTACCAGAAAAAAATTAATCTAAGTGTTATATTCAAATATTCAAATAAAATATATTATGTTTTAAATACCTAGTTATTTCAATAGTCCTCATAATAAAAGTATCTATTGTTTTTTTTTATTATTATTACACTGTAAACATTTATATTTAAATTATAATTAAAATAAAAATTATTTTAGAAATTGTAGCAAAGAGGAGTTACATTTATTTTGCCCCCGGCGTCTTTAACTCTTAATCCGTCGCTGCATCTAGTAATATGAATATCAGAAACTCGTCGCTTGTATGCGCTTCAAATTATCGATACATGGCTTCATCCATATACCTAGTATCCATATAACTTTATCTAAGATTGTAACTGTGAGAACAAAAATGAAAAACAAAATTACAGTAAAATGTAAAGCGAGTGCTCAGTCAAACGTAATAATATGTTTGAGTTTTTAATACGATATTACAAAATATATGATCAAGTCTCTTGGCCTATATATTGTTATATATAACTAGCTGCCCGTTAAATGTACCAATTCTGTATGACTCAAACTTTGTTCAATTCGTTATTTAATATTCGGTGTAAGGTGTTCAAAATGTATCTTAACTTTTCCGTTTCCCCGAATAAAAATTCTGATTCGCAGCAGTAAATTATCAAGTAGGCAATCTACCTGCTGTAGATCGCGGACCCCGTGTTGTTTGTACGTAAGTGTATGATTTAACTCTAAAGTATCAAAGTTATACCAAGTTTGTCGTTTTTACTTAATTCCACTTACGGTGGATTAATATAATCAATTTACACAAAATCCTATCCTAACCTAACCGTACTAAAAAAAAAAATCAAATTTAACCCTTTGTAAATCAACTTATCTTCTTCCCAGAGGTCTAATCTACCCACAAACATTAATTTATATATATATATATATATACACAGACTATAACACTATACAGACTAAACTCTGGAACCACTTATCAGATCTTCTTGCAGTATATTGTATATTGACAAAAGATAATAATACAAATCAACAAACGTGATTAACCAATGGGCAACCAATATATTATTCACCGGTGGATTTTCCTAAAATTTTCTTTCATATTATAAATACCTTCTCCGTGAAATACTCTTTGGTTTAAAAAGAAATCAAGAAGATCTGATAATTAGTTCCAAAGTTTAGCCTGTACAGAGATTTTCATTTCACATTTTTATAGTTAGATATTATATATAATAATTTATATTTAAAAAGTAAAGCAAATAGTTTTTTTTTTTTTTAGTATTATTATATAGCTTAAAAACCCATCATTGATTATAGACGCATAATAATAATACTGATTGAATATATATTATATATGTACAATAACAAATCGTCGATGTATATAATAAATGGTTTGTTTGTTACCTTGGCAACAAATTAAAAGGATTCACACTATAATTCTGTATTGAAATTTTTAGAACGAATCATTTTAAACGACGTCACTCGTGGCAGCCATTTATAAACATAAATTTCCATCTGAAATCTCAAATTTTACCCTTTTAGCACCTCCCGGGGTTGATCCTCTCCCTCTTTTAAATTAGTCCATCTTTTAAGTTCGGCCAAATTACACACATTGTAAAAATTTCATCAAGATCGGCCCAGTAGTTTCGGAGTTTATTTTGACACGAAATTTTTATATGTATAAGATATACGTTGCACAAAGCGTTTTTAAAATCTATTTCCGGCAGTACATTTGCTGCACTGCTGCTGTGGCAAAACCGAGTCCTAGGGCCGGTCGAAAAATTTCGTGCTCACAAGTACGAGTTCCGATTACTCAGCTGTTCGACGAGGCCTTTGGAAATCGCTCTCATAAAAATATAATAATATATTATATTATAATGTGGTATCGATGTTTCGCCATATTATTATGACGTGCAGGCGTCCTAACCCCAACAAACCCATTTTCGTATTTAGGTGTTGCAAATGTGACGCGCCAACGACGGCAGTGATGTATAACGAATTATGTTTACCTACCGCGTGTTCGTCGGCGATAGGACACGCTGTCACGGTGTATATATTTTTATTAATAATAATTCGGTGACGGACGACGTCGTATCGATCTCGGACGACATTTTTGTTTCACCTCTGCATATTATTTTGTATATTTTACAGTGTCGAGGTGCCTTCAATCACACCCCTTGTTGTCCATAACACATAACTCAAGACATATTTTAACACATAACATATATAACTTGTGGATCCCGGTGTTAATTGACTGAACGCTGCGCGGTTTTCTTTTTGATTATGATATATCATGCCAATATTGTACTACTCCTAACAGAGGGTTCTAAACATGCGTCGAAATGCCGATTTCTGCGTACACGATGATATTGTTACCTATAGGTTAGGTATACGTAAAACTTAAAACGTTGAATGGTCCCGAAAGACTTAGAACCCCACCGAGTCGTTCCCCCCCCCCCCCCCCGAATTTTAGTCCCAATTATAAAACTGCAGGAGACTGTCCTGCTGGTGGACGGACGGACGACGTCGTCTCGATCTCGGACGACATTTTTGTTTCACGATTGCATATTATTTTGTGCATTTTACAGTGTTGAGGTGTCTTCACTCACACTCACACATAACTTAACTCTTCGTTCGTTAAGATCCCGGTGTTCGCTGCAGTTTTCTTTTTGACATACATAGCACATTATGGCAATATTGTGCTACTTCTAACCGAGTTCTATAAACACGCGTCTACCAATAGATAATTTGATCGAATAAAACGAAACATATTACAATGCGGACGACGTATAGAGTGTATAAACTATAAAGTCACCACCTTATGCTCCACTCGATGACCAGCGAACTAAATGCCGATTTCTGCGTACACGATGATATTGTTACCTATAGGTTAGGTATACGTAAAACTTAAAACGTTGAATGGTCCCGAAAGACTTAGAATCCCACGGAGTAGTTTTCCCCCGAATTTCAGTCCTAATTATAAAACTGCAGGAGACTATCCTGCTGGTGGACGGACGGACGAGGTCGTCTCGATCTCGGACGACATTTTTGTTTCACGATTGCATATTATTTTGTATATTTTACAGTGTCGAGGTGCCTTCAATCACACCCCTTGTTGTCCATAACACATAACTCATGACATATTATAACACATAACAAATATACCTCGTCGCGTGGATCCCGGTGTTTTAATTGGCTGAACGCTGCTCGGTTTTCTTTTTGATTATGATATATCATGCCAATATTGTACTACCCCTAACAGAGGGTTCTAAACATGCTTCGAAATTCCGATTTCTGCGTGCACGATGATATTGTTACCTATAGGTTAGGTATACGTAAAACTTAAAACGTTGAATGGTCCCGAAAGACTTAGAACCCCACGGAGTCGTTTCCCCCCGAATTTTAGTCCCAATTATAAAACTGCAGGAGACTATCCTGCTGGTGGACGGACGGACGACGTCGTCTCGATCTCGGACGACATTTTGGTTTCACGATTGCATATTATTTTGTATATTTTACAGTGTTGACTGTTGAGGTGCCTTCACTCACACATAACTTAACTCTTCGTTCGTTAAGATCCCGGTGTTCGCTGCAGTTTTCTTTTTGACATAGCACCCACTGTGCAAAGTTTGTTACTATTTATCGCCGCTATACTAAAATTAGGTCGCAAATGAAATATTGCAAGACGATGTAAATAAAACATCAATGTATTATTACTTTGAAAAAATTTAAGTAAAGTTGACGAATAACATTGAATACATATTGAAGATGAACTATTGAAACCACATGGAATATTAATTGCAATGCGATATTTTATGGTTGTTGCTCACAAAGAGTTTTGTTTATATTACCCGATAATATTAACTTAATGTTGCAGATTTTTTATTGATGTTCTATTACAAATTAACACGAATACGATGTTATCTTATGATAGTTTTTGATAAAGTATGATGTTTATACTTTATATATATTCATGCAATATCTATGCAATATTTTTGATGAGTTGTACGGAGAATTATAGCTTTATACAATATACATTATCTATAAATATATGATATCTTTACACACGCACACATACACATCATAAGCACTTATTATACATATAAATTATTTATATAAATATATTATATCTCTTCCGACTATTTTAAAATAGTTTCACAATTTATTCCCATAAGGAACTATTTATAAATCAGTCGGTAGATACCTATTATACATAATATATTATGATCTATGGACTATGACCGTTACCATTCTAACAATGCGTATTTCAATTTTGTTATCATCACGGTTCAAGATTGTTATTTGTTCCCAATAGTCCCTATAGTCACTCTGTCCGGAGGAGCTTATACTCTTGTCCATTCGTATTTCGTCTTTGACTCTCGTCTATTCGTCTCCGACTCTCCGATACTATTGAAATTTGAAGTTTAAATTGCTTTTATACGTCGTATTATTTTAATACTATTAAAACATATTGTGAAGTGAATTTTGATTTTGTTTTTGTTAAAAATAATCAGTATGGCATCTTCATCTTTCATACAAGAAGTAAGTACTTATCTACTAATTTAGTTCAATTCATCCATAATCACTTGAGAAAAGCAATTTGTAGATACTTATTCACAGATTTATTTTTCAATAAAAATTGTATCACTTAGGTAGTTAGGTGTATGATGTATGTACTACAAACAAAACTACAATGCACCTATTACCTATGTCCTACATAATATATTTTTATAAATTAATTACCATTATAATATATTAATTATGAATTCATTTATTTTATTTAACTTAGTAGCTAATATAAACTAAATGAATATTCAATAAGAATTAGAATCTACTCCATGTCCTTATATTCAATTTCCCCATATTAATAAAATTATTATACCAATATTCTTAATATTATAGGGCTGTACATCAAAAAAGTGGGTTGTAGGTATTTTCCCTGAAACAAATGAGTACAGCGCAGTTCCCACAAATTGGCTGATAAAAACCGTTATTAATGATCGGATTAAGATTAGTTGTAAATGGCCTCCATCACCGATTATTGTGACAAGTGAAACAATAAAAATTGCCGTTGAACCGTCTCCAGAGTGGCCTATATATTCTATTCGGTTAGCTGATAATGGCAAAGAATATTGTAAGTACTTACCCAATTTTATAATACAGACAATATAATATAACATAGCTGTTATTAAAATCTAATTTCAGCAAATTTCAACAAAGCATGGCATCAGAAATTTTTAATAAATTCTGGAACTTCCTCGTCTGAAGCTGAAATTAGGAAAAAGAAAAGTTATAAAAGATCAAAGATCATATCACAACATCTTTCTTCTGATTCAGATTCTTGTGAAGAAAGTAAGTAGTGACATTTTGAAATTTACAAATTTCAAGCTTTAACATTTTTTATTACTATTGTTATTATTATTTTTTAAATGAAACATTTCAACTAGAAAATGACTGCTTGATTAGGTACCTACATATAGTTTTAATTAATGTTAATATTTTAATTTATTGAATCAATTATTTTTGTAGGTTATCAAATATGTAATACAGCAGATAACTCTGGATTAAAAACGGTAAATATATTTTATGTATATTTTTATAAAAAAAAAAGTAGGTATACTGAATATTTTACATATTTTGAGTTTCCTTAACTCATAAAAATTAATTTAAAACTCAGTATTCCTCTTTTGTGTCTTATTTTTAATTATTTTTGTTGGCTTTTAGACTACAGGTAATATAAGTATAAACGATACATCAAAGGTCCACATTGATAGTTTTATCATGGTAAATTATAGTAATTTTAATAATTCTAACAAATTAATAATACTGTTTTACCTAATACTCAAACATTTCTTTTAACATTTAATCAATTTATGAAATAAATATATATATGTAAACTTAGATATTATGCATAATTTACTTATTTACCTACTTTGAATTGTTTATTTGTAGCCCTCTACGTCGAAAAAATTATCAGTTGACCAAAATTTAGTTAACCCATTTATGTTTTCATCTGATGAAAACCCTGAAAATGAACAGTTTGAAAAAGATGGCCACAGAATGGTAATTTTTATTTCAAACAGCTTTAATTAATTTATAACTTTTATTCCTATAAGTACATTCTTATTTCCAATAGTTTTGAGCACATTTTTAATTGTTTTATTTCTCAGTAAAAAAATTATTAATTATTTTTTAATAACTTGATCATGATAACCCATACATTTATAAATGGATTTGACTTTAAAATAAATAATAATGAATCATTGTGAAGAACTATATGGGTATTCAAAATAGAATAATTTAAATTAAGTATTACACCTATATGGCTGTATACATTATTAATGTAATTAATTTGATGTTTAGATTTCTATGAAGGAAAATGCAAATAATTTGATTAATGCCACTACAAAATGTTCAGATGCGACTCGTGTTGATAATTTGGTATGTATACAACCTAAATACTAAAATTAAAATTTTAAATACTAAAAATACTAAATTGGAATGCTTTAGTTCATATATAAATTATTGCAAACATAAAAAACAAATTAACTAGGAATAAGAACTTAAAATTAAATTAATTGTCTGAACATTCAATTTTAAGTACAATACTGTGCTATTAGATATGCTGCGTGAAGGTTATTTTAGGTATTGAGGGTCTATGGTACATTTGTACTGTACCAAATTAACTTATTATTTAATTAAAACATCATTAAGGTTTAGTCAAAAATAGCTATTATTTTCTTTTATTCGTATTAATAATGCAACTAAATTATTATGTAGGTATCATCACCATACTATAACATACCATCTACTTCTATGATAATGTATGATATGTGTAATTCTGAATCAGATAATAATGTACAGAAAAATGTTACATTTCTACCAAGTAATATTTTATAAAATTATTAAAATTTATCTATTTTCATATATATTATGTATACTTATTCATACGGTTTTTATTTTAATTATTATTAAAAGCATTAAATGATGCAAACACACAAAGAACAGTAATGGAAATATTATTAAACATTGAAAATCAAAATAATTTGATTATAAAAGAACAATCCATCATGAAACTAGTACATGATCGCTTACTAAACAAAATTAATGGCTTAGAATTGAATATTCAAGGAAATAGTAAGAACAGTAATGGATCATCAGTGCATTTAGATTCTGATTTCTTATCGAAATTTCCTCTAGTTGACCATACGATGTATCTAGAAGTAGAACATCTAACTATAAATGATACTTCATTTAAAATTAAATTGGTAAGAATATTTTATTCAGTTCTATAACCAATTATTAACAGACGCTTAAATAATGTATAGGAGTATTTTATAAGAAATGTCGGTGGTTCTAATTCTAAAAATCATGTGCAGCGAATGATGGGAAAATTTTTTAGTGATGAATATGCTACAAAATGTACAAGAACTGGTCGTGGGAAAGACAAAACAACAACTGTTGGACAATCAAAACTTCTTAATGTTTTAAAAAGTGAGAGAGTTTTAAAGTATGCATTTTTTAAACACTTTCAATGTATTTGTTTGGCAAATAATTGTTAACTTATCAATTTTCAAACTAAATAATTAATATTAATATTTTTTAACTTAACAGAAGTTGTGAAGGAGTGTAGCAGTGGTAGTTCTGTAGAATTTACCGATTCAAATTATGAAAATATTGTAGCTGAGTGGTTAAGATACGCAAGTATCAGATTAGCTAGGTCAAAGAAAGCAGACTAATTTTAATTAAATTATTTTTTTACCTAAAAAGATTAATGAATGTTCAGTATTACATTTTTTTTTACAAGTATTTCAGTATTATATTTTAATGACAGCAATTTTATTTTTTTTTAAATACTCTTGAATAAGTTATAATAACAAATATAAATTAATTAAATGAGTTAATTTAATTATTTACTAATTAATAATGTTAACACTTGAAAATACTTTTGATCTACAGAGATGCATTTATTAGATGTAAAATACTCATCACGGCGTTTATTTGGATATGATATTTTTACTTTATTTCATAATTTTAGAAAATAAGCAGAAAGAAGAAAGATTCGGGACTAATAACAGCTGGACACTTCAGAAAAATTATAAATTTGGAAAAAAAGAAACATCCTCTACCTCGTACCTCTTTCAACCAATTACAGCCAAATTATAATATCTGTGATCCATCTCCAATAATCAATGTAACTACAATTGCTTCTAAATCTTCTAGTGTTGTACCTAATAACCATTTTGTTGAATATCCTTTAAATGACATATTAACAACACAAAATAATACACCGTTTAATGTTTCAAACATTTCATCTGATGACCCTATTGGTCAAAATGTACAACCCTATAGTATTGATAGTATTGACTTAAAAGATAAAATTCGATCTTGGATATTACATCATAAGGTATCCCATAATTGTGCCAATTCTATATTAAAAATTATGAAATCTGAAGGTTTACAAGTTCCTAGTGATGTACGTACCTTGATGAAAACACCTCTGTCTCATGAAATTGTTAATATGGATAACGGTTCTTACATCCACTTTGGACTAGAAAAAATGTTAACTCCAATTTTAAAAAAGTACTTCAATAAAATAGACTTAAATAATGTTTTAAAAATAGGAATTAATATAGATGGCCTGCCAATTTCAAAATGTTCTAAAAATCAGCTATGGCCAATATTATTATCAATCATTAACTGTAATGAATTATCTGATTTTGTAATTCCAATAGGGATATTTCAAGGATTAACAAAACCATCGTCAGTTAATGAATACTTTCACCCCTTTTTATTGGATATTTCAGCATTATTAGAAAGTGGTCTTTGTGTAAATGATACAATATTTAAATTTGAGATAAGTCATATTGTTTGTGATTCTCCCGCTAAGGCATTTTTATTGAATGTAAAAGGACATAACGGTTATTTTGGTTGTTCATCGTGTACTCAAGAGGGCAGGTATTTACAAAATAGAATGACATTTCCTGATATTGATGCTCCATTAAGATCTAATGAAAGTTTTCGTAATAGAGTAAATGAAGATTATCATAAAGGTGATAGTCCGTTAGAACTATTACCCATTAATATTGTGGACAGCGTTTGTTTAGATTACATGCATAATATATGCCTTGGAATCACTAAAAGACTTGTTGAATTTTGGGTAAAGGGTAAAAAAGATGTTCGACTAAACGAGGAAAGTAGAAAACAAATTACTGTTGACTTATTAAAGCTTAGACCTTTTGTGCCATCAGAATTTAGCCGCCTACCAAGAGCAATAGAAGATATAGATTATTGGAAAGCTACCGAACTTAGATCGTTTTTATTGTATTATGGTCCAATAATTTTAAAAGGAAAATTAAAAAAAAACTTTTTTTCCCATTTTATGCTGTTATCTTGTGGAGTTAAAATTTTAATAAGTAGTTCTATATGTCAAACTCATAATGATATAGCTTTAACATTATTTAAACAATTTATAACTTTGTATTCGTCATTATATGGCGAACAATTTATTTCCTATAATGTGCATAGTTTGCTACACTTACCAATGTTTGTGAGAATTCATGGTCCGCTTGATAATTTCAGCTGTTTTAAATATGAAAATTTTTTACAATATATAAAAAAATCAATAAAATGTGCAAAATATCCACTCCAAGAAATTTTTAATAGAATAATTGAAAAACAGAAGGTCTTTATATCTAATCCACTAAAAGAATGTAACTATATGGTACTGAAAGAAATGAAAAACAGAATTCCTTCTAAACATTGTAACTTAAGTGATACAATTTTTGAAAAAATAATTCTACTTAATTTAAAAATAACGATTAATGTATTAAAAGAGAAAGATAAGTTTTTTTATCTTAAAAATAATTGTCTGGTAGTTATTAAATGCATTGTAAAAAGTAATAAAAATGAAATTAAACTAATTGTTGATTCATTTTTGAATGTATCTGAAATTTTTACGTCCCCTATATCTTCTATTACCATTGGCTTATATTTAGTAGATCTCAATTTAGTATCTGAAAGTATTACTATATCCATTACTGATATTAAATATAAATGTTTTGTGGTAGGTATAGGTTTAGATAAAGCAATCATGACTGTACTAACTCATTCATTGCATGAAATAATTAATGAGTAGGTAAATACAAATGTATATAGTAATATATAATATATTATAACTTTTAATGTGATTTGAATTTTGTAATTATTTATTTTTTAATATTTTATTATGTTCATCCTATGAGTTGTATTATGTTTGATTATTCTTTATTACCTTTATATTTCTTTAATAAATAATAAATTATTGATTTTATATGAAAACTGTGTTTTTTTTTAGATATTATATTAGGTATACCTCAATTCGTGTGTTTTTTTAATGTATTTTGTTCATTGAAATGACCTTAAAGTCTTTGTCAATGCTTATTGTAAGTGGGTAGTAGGGAGATCATGTGATCTATTTATTTATGTATATACATGATTCTACCCCCCTTCTCTAAGAGAAGACATGTGCGGTCCTCACTTCCAGGAGTGGAATCTAGTTGGAAACCGGATGACAGCTATGAATCGAACCGATGACTGAGTGAGCTGTAGTCAACTGTGTGACCACTGCGCCACCCTGGCCCCCAACAACTAATGTGACATAAAATAAAGTAAATCTCATTGTTGTCAAAGTTTAAAAAACCAAAAAAAATAATTATTATTATTACTATTGTGTACCTATCGAATTGCACTGCAATATTGCTTAAAGATCTTGGGTAGCATCACATTATTATTTAATAATCAATATCTTATAGATATTAAGTTATAATTTCTATGTGATGTTACTATAAAACATATCAAGGATATTTTCCGGTAATGTTGCATTTATGGTACATGCGACATACATATAATATATATTCAAAACATTGGATAAATAGTATTTTATAATATTGTTGAGGTATTTAGTGGCAACAGATATGTAATGATTTCTGAATGTCAGCAATTACAAGCATTAACAATCGCAGCAATATGTATGTTATATTAAAATAACAAATTTAGTAATGTTACATGTTGCTGTGAAATATTACATACATATAAAACCAATATAATATTGCACAGTGGGCACATTATGGTAATATTGTACTACTTCTAACCGGCTTTAACTAAACCAGTGGCGCATTTGGGGGGGAGGGAGGATCAAGAAGATCAATCCCCCCATATGCTGTATAAAATATGCAACATTTCTCGTAGTCCTATAACTTAAGGCCTTTAGCTTTAAAATCTTATCCCTCCTCCTCATGACAAAAATTTAGTTTAGTACTGCGTATATAGAGTGTATAAAGTCGCCACCTTATGCGTGACTAGATGACCAGTGAACTAAAAAAGCCAATTTCTGCTTATACCACGATTGTATTACCTATAGGTATTAGGTATATATACATAAGACGTTGACTGGTCCCGCGAAAGACTTAGAGAACCCAACGGAGCAGCGTTTTAGCCCCAATTATAAAAGATCCAGAGACTCCTGCTGGTGGACGGACAGACGGACGGACGCGCTTATAATAATATTGCAAACGTACATTATTATTATTATTATTAAAGCGGCGAGCGAGTATTATAAGTAGGTATGGAGATTATAATATACGCTCGCTTGACCGTGCCCAGTCGGCTGTCCGTATGCGTATTATTATAATAATATACGTCCCAAACTCGTCACTGAATTATGTTTCGAATGTAAATGCCAACGTATTGTTCGGCCGTTGTTCGCGTCTGGGAATAATAGTAATAATAATAATAATAATAAAAAAAAATCAAACTATTGGTCGTCCGCGGCGCAACATACCTATATATATATATTATATTATGTATATCGAACGGACTCGTTTTCCCTGAACTTGACCAAAGAAGGATTGGTTCCTCAATTATTATTATTATTATTGCTCCTGCTGCCACCGCTATATAATATATATTATAATATGTGCACTGCGACGCTGCCTTATTACCGATGCGTATATATATATATATAATGAAAATGCTCGGACAGAGATGCCGAACTCGGGGCCGTATAGTTGTGTGCCTAGTCGTAGATGTATATTATAATAATATTATATGCAGGAACCGCGCCGGACAAACTGCAAAACACACACATGTCATACGGATGCACCGGCCCGACCATATTATTATTATTATAAAATATATTATTATAATTTAAAATATACATATTATGCGCATGTGCTGCACAATGTGCATAATGTACGCGGCAGTGGACATGAATGACTTTTCGATATTCAAATGAGCTGCAGAGGTCCGCGACGAGTCGTCGCGCGCATTTCAATCGCCTGCTGACTGTCTGCGGAAAAAAAATTTCTCGGATTTCCCATCGCATCCGCGACAGCGCAACAGCGACAATAATACATTTTCATAGTATATTAATATATTATTATAACGTGCCGACCGTTTTTTATTTTTTTTTTCCAAACTATTTAAATATGATAATATCCCGTCGGAAATGGGTGGAGTGCGCACGCACGCTTGAAATTAGTAGGTACCTATATATTACCGTGGGCAGCTGCCGCCTAGTGAAACGAAATTAAGGGTTCCCGCCGTTTAGACTTATTACTCCGGCAAAAGGGTTAACCTTAAACAAACAAACACGGTAACAAACTGGTTTACGCCGTGTACCCAGAGACCGTTTACAAGATAACAAACAACATAGGTAACCGATATCTAAAAACACGAGTTAAATAATCCTCTCGAAATCGACCTTTTTGTTATCTGAAAACGATGTTGTAAATGTGATTTCGATGTAAATTAAATATACTCAAGGAGCGCGTTTCTCCTTTAAACTTCGAAACGGAATTTAAAAATAATAATAATAATAATAATAAACTATAGTGAAATAAAACTTTTTTTTTTTTATAATACAACGTTACTATGGGGTTACCGTGGGGTTTGATACGAGGACAAAAAACACGTCAACATGGTTACAATAATATAATATAATATGAGGTAAACGGTTTATAGGTATACCCTATATATATATATGACTCCAAAATAATATTAAACATAATATTATATTGTTCAATATGCAGAACATGCCATATACTGACACAATGATATAAATCACTGAAAAACACACACACACACACACACACACACACACACACACACACACACACACACACACACACACACACATCGACATCGCGTGCGTACGAGAGAAAACGTCGCAGTTCTATCCGCAAACGCCAATTAAGGACTATCCGCGTAAAGCTGTACACGCACGGCTAACTTAACATAATATTTTGTGAGACCGTTCGAGCGTATATAATTTCGTACATTTCACTCGAGAGCCGCTTTGATCGTGTACAGAGGTACAGTTGAATTTGGGTACATGAATTATTGTAATCCATTAATATTTTTGCCGAAATCTGCGGAGGCGTATTTTGTGGGAGCTGCCGACTCCGGCGGGCATACCGGCCGAGACCTCTGCGAAATTAGTGAAAAATTCGAATACGGGAAGAATTTTTTGTTTTGTTTTTTTAAATTGGGGTGCCCCGCGAAGAGATAATATTATGCCATGTCGTTTGAGTCGATATAATTTCTTCAGTCGGTCTTTAAATAGTCATTATTTTTGTTTTATCTTTTTATTACACCTATACCTACTAAAAAAAATATACTTTATACTATAAGTCATATTTCATCATATTATATTGAGCATAAATAAAAAAATTTAGCATTTTTGGCTTGGAGCGGCTCGAGGGGAGAAACCGTCTGCACTGACGATCGTACTCCAGCTGGGGAGTAGGTCGCGACATCATTTCTCCATCCGTGTTCAAGGAAAGTTCGCTGGGCGCATTGATTATTGGTTAATTTTTTCGCTATAATATATTTTAGTTGATCGAATAGCTAGTTGTGGTCTAGTGTGTAGGACTTACGAGTATACAGTATATTATAATAGGAAATACCTAAATTTTATATCCGAGTTAGTTAGTTTTGATATATGTAAAAAGGTTCTCTTTGTTATTGAAAGAACAGTTTTGTTGTGAATAATTATTATTGGATCTTGTATGGATTTTATTTTATATATTTATCCACACTTAGTGAGTGATCTATGCTCCCCTAGATACGACCGAACGAATTTAAAAGGTCAGCTTCCTTAACGGGATAGTGTTTATAAAATATTGAACCCAGATCATGTTACAATATAATGTTGTGTGCTTGTAAATTCTGAAAATTTAGTTTATTTGTGTCATGTGAGTAGATACATCATTGTATAGGGAAATTTATTGCAATGTGG